GAATTGATTTGATGATGAGTGGAAGGAATTAACTGGGTAGGGGATGGCAGTGTGGAAGTGGGTACAAGAAGTAGAGGAGGGGTATGAGTGGATGAGTTGTTGGGAATGTTAGAGTGGGCGGTGGGAACCGATTTGTAGGGAAACTGATTTTCGTAAAAGGTCACGTGACGCGAGATATAGATGCGTTTGGTTTGAATGTGAAGGCATTTATAGCCTTTATGTAGTGGAGAATAGCCAATAAAAACACATTCGGAGGAGCGCGGCGAGAGTTTGTGCGAGGAATAGGGTTTTAACCAAGGAAAGCAGAGACATCCGAAGGTTCGAAGATGTTCGTAGGAGGGCGGAGATCCATGGAGACGTTGGTAAGGAGATTGGAGAGAGATGGATTTAGAGGGTAACCGATTGATTAAGTGATTTGCTGTGGCGAGAGCTTCGGCCCAGAATTGATCGGGGAGGTGAGAAGCGTGGAGAAGCGTGCGGCTAAGCTCAAGAAGATGACGGTGTTTGCGTTCCGAGACCCCGTTTTGTTCAGGAGTGTGAGGACAGCTTAATTGCTGAATAATGCCATGGTCCGCCAGGAAGGTTTTGAAGGCAGTACTGGTGTACTCACCTCCGCCATCGGAACGCAGAATTTTGGGTTTGGTGCTGTGTTGGTTCAGGATAAGATTGCAGAAGGTTTTAAATTTAGTTAAGGTTTCTTGTTTGGAAAACATGGGATAAATCCAAGCGAAGCGCGTATTGTCGTCGATAAAAATAACATAGTAACGAAATCCGTCTAAAGAAACATGCGGGGCCGGACCCCAAACATCGGAATGAATTAAGTCGAACAGAGAAGAAGAATTAGAGATGCTTTTAATGAAAAGAGATGAAGAATTAGACATGCTTTTAATGAAAAAATGTTTGTGACTCTTGGCCACGTTACAGGATTTGCATATAAACGAAATTGGTACATTTTTTAGTGTAGGTATGTAAGTAGAAAGAACTGAAAGAAGTTATTTATTAGGGTGTCCTAGCCGAGCATGCCAAAGATCGGTAGAGGTGGTCCGAGCCGTGAGAGCAATGGGCTGCTCGGGTTGAAGGCAGATTTGATAGAGACCGTTATGAAGTAGTCCACGAAGAAGCGGACGTTGATCCTGGAGGTTCTTGATCACAAAACCATTAGCGTCAAAAGAAATCGAAACAGAGTTATCGGAAGTTAACTTGGAGACAGATAATAAATTGTGAGTAAGAGCAGGAACATGTAATAAATTGCGTAGACGTAGCTTACGAGGCGTGTCCGAAAGCGGTAGAAGACCTTGTCCGGAATTGTGGATCGGTAGATAGGATCCATTGGCGATGGAGACGGTATCAGGTCCAGTGTAGTTCGTGGGTGATTGAAGATTTTGTCCGTTTGGTGTGAGATGACTGGTTGCGCCGGAGTCGAGGATCCACTCTTGAGTGGAAGTGTTGGACGGTTGAGCAAGAAGTGCTCGAGGAGGCCGTGTCGTGGTGGGGGCGTACGTGGGGTTGCAACGGTGCCAGCAATTGAGGGCTATATGACCCGTCTTGCCGCAGATCTGACAGACCGGTCTGCTGGTGGTTGTTTGGACGGTAGAACCAGTTGTTGCTGACGGAAGATTGCTGCTCGGAGGAGATGTTTTGTTCCTGGAGATTTTTCTTTGTAATTTTCCACGGAAGTTAGGAGCAGAGTAAAGAGCAGTCACAGTTGCACTGTTTTGCTGTTCTTTGAGAGCATCTTGTTGAAGTGTGATCTCTTCACTACAAAGAAGAGAATAGAGTGTGTCGAGGTCGATGGGTAAAAGAGAGGTGCGAATTGATGTCTTGAAGGGGTTGTAGATGGGTGGTAATCCGTTCAAGATGTGGATTATGATATCTTCCGGATCAATTTTAGATCCGGAGGCGGTAATATTGTCTACAATAGACTTAACGTGGGTCAAGTACTGTTGCATTGTCAGATTTTTTATCTGAACATGATATAATTCGTTCTTGAGTTGGATAGCTCGAGAGCGATTTGAAGGCTGTAGCCGTTTCTCAAGAATCATCCACGCATCGTGAGTGGAGGTGGAAAAGATGATGTAAGGGAGTATGGTGGGGGAGATAGTTGAAAAGAGAGATGAAAGGAGGTTACTGTCCACAAGTTTCCAGCGGTGGTAATCGTGAGTGGTTTGATCGGCGGGTTCAGGAAGATCACCGGTTAGATGGCCGGCGTAACCATTGGCTTGGAAATGCTGAAGAATCTGCATGCGCCAAATGGGATAGTTGTCCGTCGTCAAGGGGTGGGGAAGGAGGTTCTTGACATTAGAGACAAGAAATTTGAGAGGAGCCGGGATGGTCAGCTCTGTGGGAGGAGTTCCGGTCTGGGCGGTGGAGGAGGAGGGTGGAGCAAAATCCTCTGATTCTTGATCTGCCATAGTTGGCTCTAATACCATGAAAGGAGGAAGAGGAGAGCATGCGGAACGAACAGAGGCAGACAGGAACAGGAAAAAGGAATTGTATATTGAATGATTAAAGTTGATTACAATCGGTTGTATATAAAGATCCGTAGAGGGTAAGACAGTAAATACAGCTAAAAGAAGGCCTTGTATGCTAACACAAAAATCAAGTTGGAAACTTCAAAAATTAAATTTGGGAGCACATGAACTCCGATTTCAGCAAACTTACAGTCAAACTGAGCGTCTCGGAAATACGAACCCAGCGACACCAAATTCGACCCAATCCGAGCCCAAATGGGTCCGAATCAAGGACCCGAAGTGCTGTTGGAAGGTTCAAACAGCAATTTGAGTTACCAAACGGTTTCCGATTTTAACTAACTTATACTCGAATCGAGCGGCTCGACAGGACGAATCCAAAGAGCCCAAGATTGCCGAATTCTGACATCATTAAGGCCTCCAAATGTCCAACGAACGGTGCATGATCAAAGGATTCGATATCGGACGTCCATTCAAACCACTCCCAATTCGCCCCTGATCTCACGTCTATTTACGGGCTATGTCACTCTAGAAAAACTATAAATAGAGCCCTCATTCTACACAAAGGGACTCAAGTGAAGAGAGAGAAGATGAAGAGAAGAAGAGGAAAAGGGGGAAAAGGAGAATCCTCTCCTCTTCGACCACCGCCGGAGCTCTTCCCGCCGTCTGAATACGCCGGGATTCTACGTGATATTCGGGAGAACGCATGAATTCTGTCCAACTTCCACGTGATGCTGAAATTCTTCCTAATTTACAACAGAGTTCCCTCTTGACGCCGAAACTCCGCCCAAGTGAAGCCGGAGTTCTCCTCTGCCATCAACAGACGTCGGACTTCTACCAGACGTCGGACCTTCACTCTTCGTCAAGTTTATACCCGACAGAATGAAATTATCTTATTGAATTTAGAAACTGATTACATATATATTTATAGGCTTTGGGCTGTGCTAAATACAGTTAGCTGATGTGGGATGTATTTATATTGATGTGCTTACAGGATCCCAGAGAAGGGAGAGGTGATAATTAGGGGTAATCCTGAGAATAAAACAGTGCTTGAAAAGAGAAGCCGTGAGACACAAGTTCTTCCAATAGTGAGAGCATCTCTTAAGGTGAGGGTACCAAAGAGAGTGATAAAGATTTCTCCAGCAGTTGAATAGAGGGTTTTCATTATTTAAATATCTCCAAATAATAGAACAATTAAAACTATGGGACAGGGCCTCCAAGGAGGGAAGCCCAACACCACCATTAAGTTTAGGGAGTTTCAGGTATCCTTCCAAGCAATAAGGTGAAGCTTTTTAACTGCAATGTCACGGGAGTAGAGAAATCTGGAACAAAGCTTGTTTAAGATTTTAAAACAACGCTTAGGTTGTACAGAAAAATATCCCATATATTCTGTCAGAAAAAAATCCAAATCAAGCAGGTCTCTGAGAAAGCCAGAATCCTTTAACAGACAAAAAAATAGATTTTTTTTTTTTATGGCCTTAAATTTATTTTCAGGTAAATATAATAAATAATAAATTAATATTATAATAAAATAATTTTAAAACATACAAGAGATTTGAAATTCATCATATTTTTTTAAGGAGAATATGCTGATATAATTTTATTTTTATTCTTTAACCATAAATTTTGTCTTTCATATGAGTTTAGAAGTTTTCTCTCATTAATTTTGAATTACCATTTAAATCATTAAAAATTCATGAAACTAAAGGTCAATCTTGATGCAATACTTACATAAGAAAATTTTTAGAATTAAATTCAGAATTATCAATCCAATTTTTATTTTAGAAAAATATATACTCAAAACATAATTTTTTTAATGAAAAAGAACTGACAACATCCAAAATACGTTGATTTAAGGCCCAAAGGGTCTAACTCAAGCACTTAAGCTATTAGCCTGAGGAGAAAAGGATCCTTAAATCTTGTGAGTTGTGTGCTTATAATCAAAATCAAATTGCCGATATGAGTAATCCAATAAATCTAAAAAATGATAAACTCTAATGTCACTTGAAAATTGTTAATTTGATAAATTATTTGGAGATATTGACAACAAAAATTAATATGTTATTTAAAAAAAAAACTAAAAAAGAACTCTCATTCTATACATAAGAGGACCTAAAATAAAAGTGATCAAGCTCACAAATTTGAAGAATCAAATCCAACAACGCTAAGAAAAAAATTGAATCAAATTGCAAACCGCACATCCTCACCATTTCACTATTTAAAAAAAAAATCAAAATAGATTAATTAAATTATAATTAGAATGAATTTTACATCCATTAAATTCAGTTAAAATTAATGTAATACACATTTAATTAATTTATATATAGAATATTCATCTCAAAATGAATTTTATAATTTTCAAACTCTTTTAAACCTATTTTTTTATCAGAATATAAATATATTAATGCGAAAAACTTCCATCTAGCTCGACTTTCCCACCTCACCCTATTTAAATCCGCCGGACACCAATTCAGATTCACGCCGCAACCGATCCTTCCTCTCTTGGATTTGGATCGCTCAAACCAAAGCAATATGCAAGCCGCGCAGCCTCACCATTTCCCCCAAATATGCCCCCCACTCTCCGCAGCCAAACTCATTCCATTCACTCCGGCCGCCACCTCCATCTCCATCTCTCGCCGCCGCCTCACCTCCACCAGCACCTGCATCTCCGCCGCCGTCACCCCCATCCTTCACCCCCCTTCCACCGAACCGATCACCCCTCCCTTACCCACCGACTCCGTCGCCACCTCCTTCTGGGACTACCAAATGCTCTTCCTCTCCCAGCGCACCGAAACGCCATACCCCATCCCCCTCCGCATCGCCGACGGGGCAATCCCCGCCGATTTCCCTATCGGGACATACTACCTCACCGGCCCCGGCATCTTCTCCGACGACCACGGATCGACGATTCATCCGCTCGATGGACACGGCTACCTCCGCGCCTTCGAATTTCGCGACCGTGGTTCGGTGTGGTACTCCGCCAAGTACGTTGAGACGGAGGCGAAGAAGGAGGAGAGGGAGGAGGAGACCGGCGAGTGGCGATTCACTCATCGAGGGCCGTTCTCGATGTTGAAGGGTGGGAAGAAGGTTGGCAATATGAAGGTGATGAAGAATGTGGCGAATACTACTGTGTTAAGGTGGGGTGGACGGTTACTGTGTTTGTGGGAAGGTGGGAAGCCGTACGAGATTGACGGCAGGACGATGGAGACGATCGGAGCTGTTGATTTGATTGGTGACGGCGATGAGGTTAGCCGCCGGCGATGGCGACGATTTGGCGAGGTGGGTTTGGATTTGGCCGCCGCACTACTGAGACCAGTGCTGCACGGTAAGTGCTCGATCGGTCGTTAAATTGATTGTTAAACTTATACGGTGAAAAATAATGGCGATTATGCTATTATAATTACATTAAAAAAAGTCATGATTCTCTAAAATAAAATTTATTACAATTAATTTTAAAAATTTAAATATCCTTACATTTTTTAATATATATATTTCTAAAATGATGACTCATCCAAAATGTATTAATAAAATTGGAGATTGTGAAAAAAATTGGAGTATAACAAGAGTCAAGAAGTGTATCCAGAAGGGGCAGAGTATACCACGAGGTGTATAATGACAATGATAATTTATAATTATAATTATAATTAATTCGATAAAAAGAGAAATAAAGCCAAGGCCTTCGACCACTGTCTTCTCGGAAAGGATTAACTTGAGAATTGAAGACGACATTCAAGCTAGCTAAGTCAACCACTCCATTAATGGCTCAAAGGTTAATACCGATACGTTAATAAATTAAGTATCAGCTAATTTAATTTTCACTCTAATTTAATTTATAGCAAAATATGTTAACATAATTTGTTTCATTAAATTATCAACCCAAGAAATCGACCGGCTTGCTAAAAAGTATTGAATTAAAATTGAAAGATTTAATTTTGAACTTATTAAGAATATTTTAAAAGCACCTACTTTTGTCTTAACGGAAATTTTTGTCAATTCTCCTCTCAAATTTTTAATTTTGATCATGTTATTGTAAGATTTATTTGAATCGAAACTATATTTTTCTTTTCCTTACAGTAATGAATAAGTCCATACAACTTTCTGCTAAAACTCTATTGGTTAGTTACGCTCAAGCTAGTCCAATAGAGGCTTGATCTCGTCTGGACTCAAAAAAACTCTGTGATGTACTTAATTAGTTAGATTTTAATCATATGAATTAGCATTTCAAAAATATTTAGTTAACATAAAAAAGTTTTTAAACGTAATATTTTAAAGCAATATATGTAATAGATGTATTATAAAAGGACGTCTCTTATCTCTATATTTAAAAGAATCGCAGACCCAAATAATGACAGATAGTAACTATACTTTATTTACGCTTTTATTGTAGACAGAGAGAACCGGACAGTTCTCTACGTCCGGTGTCCACAACTAGTAATTTCTCCAATTGGCGAAGTGTTATGATTAGATTAAAGCATGAAATTATATTCAAATTTGGTACAGTACTCTTGAGATATTTTGAATATTTTTGTTGATTAAAAACTATTCATTGAGTTATTTTTATAATTTAATTTAGATTTTTTTAAAAAAAAATTCTCGCGTTATTATTCTGTTAATTGTATCTCATATCTGTTGAATATTACCATATGAGTGAAATGATTTATGGATTTTGTCTTTGTTCAAACTGCTTAAAAAGAAATTTATTGTATTCAAACTTTATTTTTTTTTATTAAAAGTTTTGTTTTCTTTGTCTATTCTATTAGTTGCTCGAAGCTCTGTTTTGTCGCATGCCATGTCTGATTCATCTATTTTTTTTAGAGTTATTATTATTATTATTATCTTATCATTGCGCATTGATGCACATTCGGCGTAATAAAATACCTGCCTCAATTTAATTAGAGCCATGCATGCCACCCCTAAAATCTTTATTAATTATTTTTTAATGGGAAAAGAAGTAGATAGAAATTTAAACGACGTTTCATGATTGGAATGATGCAGGTGTTTTCAAGATGCCACAAAAAAGATTACTGTCACACTATAAAATAGATGAGAAGCGGAACCGGCTGCTGATTCTTTCATGTAATGCTGAAGATATGCTGCTTCCTCGTTCTAATTTTACTTTCTATGGTAATATATATTCTGCATCTTCCTTTCGTTAGATTATTACAAAATTTAATTTTCGACAATGCTTACCTCCATTAATGCAGAATTTGACAGCAACTACGAGCTGAAGCAGAAGAAAGATTTCTCCATTCCTGACCATCTCATTATCCACGATTGGGCTTTTACTGAGAATCACTACATTCTGATTGGCAATCGCATCAAGCTTGATCTCCAAGGTTTACTTTCCATGAATTGCCATAATGAATTGTTCCATCTACTTGACAGTTCAGTTCGATCAAAAACAGAACCAAATTAACTCATGAACATGCTTATGAAACAATACAGGATCAATGCTTGCAGTATCTGGTCTTTCTCCTATGATTTCTGCACTATCGGTAAATCCCAGCCAATCCAAAACCCCTATTTACCTTCTACCACGATTTGAAAGCAGAGTAAACAAGCTAAGAGATTGGAGAGTTCCCATTGAAGCACCATCACAGCTATGGATCTCTCACATTGCCAATGCATTCGAGGAAAATGAAGATGAAGATGGAGTTAGGATTCAAATCCAGGCCGCAGCTTGCTCTTACAAGTGGTTCAACTTTCAGAAAATATTTGGTAAATTAGGCATTTTTAGCTCTCTCCCTCATTGCATTTTATACAAATTAATCCTGACGAGTTGATTTTTACTAATAACTGAAATTGTTATAGGTTATAATTGGCAGAGTAGGAGGCTGGATCCATCTTTCATGAATGAGTTTGAAGGCAATGGGTCCCAGCTGCCTCACCTTGTTAGGGTAAGCTAACCCTTCTTGAATAAAAAAAATGATAGAAAGCTCAATAAAAGTTGTAAGAGGAAATTTTGTCTGGATATGTTCGTCTAGTTCGTATATGATGATGCAATATACTTACTGATAAAATAAAAAAAGCTAGAAAGCTCAATAGATTTCCTTATATCAGAATAAAGCCTTTTTCCTGCAAAATTTTTTTCAAAAAATTATTCAAAATAGCATTATCCAAAAAAAGTTTGGGTTCTAACTTGTAAAAGGGCTTTATAACTCGTATAAAAAATAATATTTGACAAATCTTGCAATGTAACTCATTTTGATCTTTTGGTTGGTAGCTTTAGCTATCAATAAAAAAGTCTTAGGTTTGAAGCTTGTGTGTGTAATGTGTGTTTGAGTTTGCCACAATGAGCTTAAATAAATAAAAAAATTATAAAAATATTTTTTCTATAATTATGCAAAGAACAGATAATGAGAATTATAAAATAAATGCCTGAAAATAAAGAACATTTAAGTTTCATTTGAGATAGCTTTCTTATAAGATAAAAGCCTAAAAATACTTAATTTTTTTTCATAACCAACGTAATATTTATAAGTATTATTCTTGGATAGGTCTCTATTGATCTGGATGGAAGAGGAGAGTCCCGTTCCTGCAGCATCGCCAACTCTTCAAGCAAATGGAGCTGGCCGGCTGACTTCCCGGCAATCAACGGCGCCTTTGCCGGCCAAAGAAACAAGTTCATATATGCCGGCACGGCTTCAGGAACAAGGAGGTTCTTGCCACATTTTCCCTACGACTCTGTGGTGAAGGTCAACTGCTCGGATGGAACAGTGTCTTTTTGGTGCACCGGCAGACGAAAGTTCATCGGAGAACCCATCTTTGTTCCCAAAGTTGGTACCTTGGAGGAGGACGATGGTTATATCCTTCTTGTAGAGGTGAGTGAATTAATTCTGCCTTATTTTCATAAGTCGACTGTGCTGACATTGTCTTATTGGTTTTGCTTTGGCAGTACGCAGTTTCGAAGCTAAGATGTTATTTAGTGATACTGGATGCCAAGAGAATTGGCAGAGCTAATGCGTTTGTGGCGAGACTGGAAGTTCCTAAGCATCTTTACTTCCCTCTCGGTTTCCATGGATTTTGGGATGATTTCACACACAATCACAACATAAAATAATTTCATACATATATTATCATTTTTTTTGCTTCATATCATGTGAAGATTATATTTTATGAAAATTTTGTCTTGTAAACATGTAACTGCTAACAGGATGTAAACAAGATAAATTAATATAAAAAATATAAATTTATTTACACATGTGTAAATAAATTATATAATTTGTACAAATTTAATAGGCCTGACTTGAAAGAATGAACAGGAAATGTGAAAAAAATTTGATTTTGTGGCCGTGCGACTTTGCTTTTGTGGCCGTGTGACTTTGGATTGAAGAAATTAAATGAAGAAAATGAAATTAAGGTGATTTATAGGTTGTGAATTTGGCCACCTGAAGTTGGTAAATCGACCGCAGAACTTGGCTTAAAGATATTTGGATATGTAATCCTATGAGGATAAAATATAGTAAGGAAATTGATCACTTATAAATGAAAATATGTGAATCATAATTTTTTAAGATTGACTTTGAAACCATCCAATATTTATTTCAATAAACTTGTGGTATGAGATTCATCCAATGATGACAAAAGTGTGTTCATCTAAATTTAAATTGTCACATATAAAAAGCATAAATTTATAATTAAAATTTTTATGACATAATTTGAATGACTTATAGTATAAGAATCTTATATACTTATAAGTAAAACAAGTGCCTCAATAAAAGAAATTTAATAAGCTCAATATTGCTCAATGGTGATGTTATTAAGACATTTAAATACCTAAAAAATGGTATATAATCAAAAGCATTAATATTTAATATTTGATAGTGTTTGAAATTTTGTCAATTAACCAAAATGTCACTAAAAAATTTCATAATTACACTCACAATTCACATGAAGGATATCTTGAGTTGGAGTGAACTCACGAATTTAAAGAATCCTAGAGTTCTACGTAATGATTAACACTATTGTAGGTTTCAATCTAAGAAAAATGATGGATTTGTCTTACATTCTAGCAAACTCTATGAGTTTAACACTCTTATTTTTTATGCACATTTAAAATATTTGGTTTATGTTGTTGGCCATTATTTCACCTGCTTAATCAACAATCATATAATCCAATTCATATTAAGCTTGACAGGGCTTTAGCGAATGATGCTTTGATGAAAATCTTCCGTGTTCCTTATATTTTGTTTGAGACCCCACTTGTTATGATCACTCACCCATTATCTTGCAAGATAGTTCTCTCCACTCTATAAGACATAGATTCCTAAACAAGAATTACTAGTCCAAATTGGAGGATTATTGGAAAGCTCTTCTCTTTGTTTTCTTGCCCCTAGTTAAGGGAATCCTTTGATAGATTTCCATAATATGCTTAAATCGTGCATCAAATTGAAAACATGTGCCTTTTCCATATCCCTTAGTGCATTTATATATGACTTGCAACATCAACAAAAAAACTACCTCTCGCTTTTGGTATATGATTCACTTAATGCCTACCACGACTACAACCTCAAGTTGCTTAATAGCAAAATTGAGGATTACATTTCATTTTGGTCCTCATGGATTATTCAAATATCTAAGGCAAAATGGATTAGGCATGGTGAAAGATGATCTCAAGTTCCTTTATTACATATTTCGTATGAGAAAAAAATTATAATAGGGCTTTTGTTATTGATTCTCTAGAAAGTAATTTAGATTCTAATAACATTCCTATGTATATTATCACCCATCACTTCCATAACCTCTACAAACTTCCCCAACCTTTTTATCTAACCTCAGCACCTTTCCCTAGGGGAATGTTATCCTCTCTCACTTAGTTATGTAGCTTATTTATAACAGATGATGAAATTAAAGTTGTTATATTCTCAGGCTCTCTCTCATCTACTTCGGTCAGATGGTGTTAATTTGTACTTCTATAAGATTGGCTGGCATGTTATTGGGCCCTCCTTTTCTAAAGTAATTAAATCATTCTTCAATAAAGGATTTCTACCTAGAGGTGTCAAGGTTGCAACTGTTGTTTTAACACCCAAGTCTAATCATGTTGATTCTCTATCTAATTTCAAACCAATTTCTTTGTGTAAAACTATATACAAAATAACATCCAAGATCTTGGGTTCAAGGCTGGATTTCATAATGCTTGATATTATTTGGAAAAACAAATATGGTTTTATTAAACAGAGTGTCTTTACTAATAATGTGATTTTAACTTCCGAGCTTCTGGGCTATTTCCAAAAATGCAAGAAATCCAAATTTATATGTACCAAATTTGACATTAGGAAGGCGTTTGATTTTATTTTAAAAGTTTTTTTGCTTGCTAAGATGACTAAAAATGGCTTTCCTAACATATTTATAAATTGGGTCAAAGCTTGTACCTAGAAATGTCCACTTTTTGCATGTATTCATGGTACATTAGAAGGGTTATTTCCTTCTACTTTTTGTCTTAGACAATGCTACCCCCTTAGCCCTTTCCTCTTATGCATAGTTATGGATGCTTTCTTTTGTTTATCGGAATCCATGACTAATGGGGAGAAATTTGTTGTTGTTAATGTGGAGGGGTTTAAGCTTCACCATTTGCTATATGATGATGATCTTTTAGTTTTTTGTGAAACCAATGTTAACAATTCTTCCATCCTCATCTGAATCCCTTCCATCTTTGCAAACACCACTAGCTAATATGTGATTCTCTATAAGAGTTCACTTATCTTGGCCCCTAATACTCCTCACCCAAATGAGGTGTGTGTTGCCTTTAACATTCCAATCTTATCTTCCAAAAATTAGCCTTCCTATTTCTTTCAAGAGAGCAGGACTCTCTGATTTAACTTACCTTTTGAATATTATTACTAATAAACTTTATGGTTGGAAAGATTATTGACCTCACTTTTAGCTGAGATCACTTTATCCACATATAACTATGAATGTCATGATCTAATGCCACTAAATTTTCAACTCTTTAACTCATAATAATTTTGCTTACAATCACCTGACTGGTAGCCATCAATTTACATCTCAATATACTTCAATCAATCATCACCAAGCAATCAATGAATATACGCTCAATCAAGCTTCAATCATCTCTAGATATCAAGTCACATTGATCAATCATCACTTCTACAATCAACAACCATTGACTACAATCACCTAGGCCAATGATTGACCAAGTTAACTCAGTTGGGCTAGCCCAATTGATCATCAAGCCAATTCACCTCAATCACCTTCAATTAGACCCCAACTCATCCTTGAACTTCACCAAAGTTGAACACAATGCCTAATAAATTGAACATGGTTGATCACTCTGGCCTAGTCATTAGTTGACCAGGTCAACTAAACTTAGGTTTAATCAAACCAAGTTCACTTAGGTCATTTCATTACATACACTTAAATTAAACCTCTCAATCCCTCAATATCACTCCATTACAAGTTCTAAATAAATTCAAGCCCATCATGAGTCAAATTTTGATGAGTTTGATCAAAGGTGCTCAAACCATTACATACTATCATTATCCATTTATACACCAAATCATTCATCAAACCTCAAACTCATTATTTCAAACCTATGCAACCCATTCCAATACCATATCAAAAACTCCCTTAGGTCTATTTTAGTTGGCATTGATTGGTTGTCAAGTCAAATAGTCAACATTGAACATATCAAAGGGATTTTCTATGGTCAACTTTCCTTCAAACATTTAATTCATTATTTTAAAGCCAATGCATTCTATCCTAATGGCATCCACATCTCCCCCACCCTTCACCTTAGTAGGTTTGACCAATTAACTGGTCAAAAAAGTCAACAAAAGACTAAAACTAATCAAAATGGTCAATCATCTCTATCCAAACTATTTCCTTCCAAACCAGCTGCCCTAAACCCTTTAAATTAATCCTAAAATCATTCTAAGAAGCTATTAAACCCAACATAATTATTGGTTTAACCTAAGAGAATTAGTATACCCATGTGAAGACAAATGTGTCTTTCCACATCATTATCCTTGCTTTGATGATTCCCTTCCCTCCTAACCACCTAGGGCACTTGTCAAGCATCAAAGCACTCATCCAAAATATCATAGTTGTCTAATATAACCCTAATGATTGAATTGTTCAAAATGTTCAAAACATACACACACTCATTTCCCTACACTCATACCCTCTAAAAGATGGTTCATTTTTCATTTGAACATCCAATGCCTCCTCTACCTTTCCCAAGTTTGAATCCATTATTTGAAAGCCGCCGACGACAAGTCTCTTGCCACACCTTTGATTCATATTTTGTCCAAGGCTTTTTGTTCATGATCTATACCTTCCCAATTGCAAATTTCTTCAGGAGAATGGTGCTAGAGCATTAAAGGAGCATAACGAGCCTTAAAATATCCTTTAAGACTCATTGAATTGAAGTAACCATCAAATCCTAACTAAATAACTTTAGGGTTTGATGTGAAATCACTTCCCCATCAGGTAATTATATCCCTTTAAGCTCAGCCCAAAGTTTCATGAAATTTGGTTTGGCTATTTTCAAGAACAAAGCACTCTTCATCTTAAGGTTTAAAATATGTTAAATATAAAATGTACAAAATCTAAGTCGTTGATCTCTCGATCAAAAGCCTAGATCTCGTAACTTATTATTTTATCTGAATCATGTTAAGTAGCTAGTCATTCTGATCTTCATCCGACTGCATCACAGCCAAACATCCCAAATTGCGTGGGATCGAACAGCGGGCAACGCACACCTACATGGTTAATTAGAAAGCATGTATGCGCCACTGCCACATGTTAAATACAAATGATTGTTGGCAACACAATCATGCGCAATTAATGCACCATCGTGCAATCATTGTTAATAATCAGTTATTCAATTGTAAATCATTTTTAGCATAAACTTTAAAATTTTCTAGATAATAAAATACTTAACCAAAATTTGCATATTTTCTTCAGAATTAAATCCCCTTTCATTTAAAAATAAAAATTGAACAAAAATTATGAGTTTATAGGGAGTAATATAGCTTTTATTATTTAATTAAGTTGCTTAATTACTCCCTAATTACTCAGCTAATTGGGCCCAAACCTTTTTGGGTTCAATTAGAGTATGCATGTAACCTTCAGTAATTTTTCTAGCTCAATTTGAATTCAATTTTATTAATAATTGAGTTTTTTTAAACCTATGACTCAAATTTTCATGCATATTTTTTTGAAATTCATAATAAATTTATTTTTAAAACCATTTTAAACATTTAAGCCTTCATAGGAATTGTTAAGTTGAGCTTAATCCGGAAAAAATACAACCAATCAAACTTGATTTATATATGAAGAATAATTGTACTTTATTTGTTTTCATGTTTTCTCCAAACTTGATTTATATAAGTATATATTAGTAAATAATATTCACCTCTAATGATACAAATATTCAATGATTATAACATCTTTCAAACTAGAAGCGTGATTAAACAAAAAAAAAATTAAGACAACAATACAAGTAGATCGAAGTTCAAAAGCTAGCAACCTACGTTTATCTCACTAAGCATAGTTGTAAACGACTTCAAATAAGAATGATAGGTCTTACAAATGAGTCAATGTTGTAAGGAAAATAACAGCAGAAACAAATGCACTGTTTAAGCATTGTGGATCCATAACATTTTACAACCAAGAAGGGGATGGTAGAAGCAAGATTGGTTTTTTATTACTTGATGAAATTCATGGTTGTTTGTGACTTGAATTGTTTTGGTGAAATATAAGATTTCAAAAGTCTTCAGGCAGTAGAGGCCTTCTGATTTGACTTAAAGACAAATTTTATCAGTGATTGTTTAATCAATAGAAGATCTGGAAATTATGTCTTTAGTTTGGTGGTATCTAGTTCATTATTTCTCCTAGGAGCAAGGATCACCTTAGCCTACTCCTCTAAGGTGAAGTTTTTCCAAGAGTAGCTTATATCGATGTACATTATGCATATTGTTCATTAATGTTCAAATTTGGTTAGCAAATACTATGATATATTGCTTTTCTATCATGGTATTTTGCAAGTCAATTGAATACATGGTTATTCATTAGTTGAATTCTCAAATAATTAGGTTATGATTTAGCTTTAATATTTGGAAATTCATTAGTTCCAATTTTCTTAGAATTAAAACACATGTTTGATGAGGAATAATTAATTGCATATGTGCAAGGGTTTGATGTTATGATTGTTAAATATATTTAAACACTGGTAACATCTAAGGACAATAATTAGGGATGTGTTTAGCAAATTTAAAACACTAGTGACCTTAGCCGGCCATCAGTTGTCGCTGGCTGCCACCACTTCTGTCGTCGCCTTCCACACACCTCTCGCGACCACCCACCATTAACCACCACTACCAGCCACTACCACCACATCCGGCGTCGGTAGCCAGCCACTACCGCCACCCTCCAACCACCATCATCTCTGCCATCCTTCGACTGCCTCCACTCGCTGCCTACCGTAACAACTACCACCCTTCAGCCAACACCACTGTCGACCCCCACCGCTGCCACCCATTAGTCGCCACCATCTTTAAATTTTACATTATATTCATTTTACTTCAATCAAATAAAAAAATTATTCACCTAAATTTACTTTACACTCATCCAATAATGTCCAAAGTATTCCTTTTATGTCGCATTCCTTTACATTGCATTTTCCTTTTTAAGCCAACCAAATATCCCCTTAGAAATTTTGTTTTGAGCATATTCTCTCTCAAATTAACATTGAAATGTTGATGACAAAATTTTTTAAAGTTGGAGAGATTGTAACAACATGATAATTAGGAAAATAATTTTAAAATACTTTTTAAAAATTTTGTCATAACTGGAGTGCAAAGGCGCTATGGCGATCTGCTTGAGAGCACAACGGCGCCTGGAATTGATGTAGCATTAATGCAAGCTTTGTTCTACAATATTTCTAGATTCAACAGGCAGCATAGCAACGCTGGATCAGAACACCAGGGTGCTAAATACTTTTTTTTTTAAAAAAAAATTAGAACTAGAGCAAGTATATTGAATCTTCTGTCTTGCATTAAAGGAAATGATAAGTTTTGGTTACTTGCTGAGCTTATGTGATTTTTATATAAATTTAGGTAAAGATAAGGAGACTACATCATGAAGCTACATAGTTATGATCATTCTGATTCTGTTTTAAGTTATCTGATTTATGTGTATTCTTTTGTAGTCGATACTGGCTATTGTATATGTTATTTTGAACTTTAAAACAATATATAAATATTGAGTGTAGTAATGTAATTATGCTTCTCGATGTTTATACTTTTTTTAAAATGCAATCAATCAGCTCTAGTTATTAATGACCTAGTTATAAATAAATATTAGCTGTTAATTTAAAATAATAATGACTAAAGGAAAAAGAGATCAAATTATTCCACTTTAGGTCTTGGTGGTGTTACACCGTAGTCGAGCGACAGTAATTAAAAGGACCGTAGTTGGTGGGATGGGGTTGGAAGGATCGTAATAGGGCAATGGTGATCTGAGGACTGTAGTAAGGTGACATAGGTCGATGGGATCGTATTTGGGCATCAGTGGTTGATGGGACCATAGTTAGGTGACGGTGGTTGATGGTGATATAGTTGAGCGACAGTAGTTGAATGAACCATATTTGGTGAGGGACGAAGGTTGAAAAGATCATAGTCATAGTTGGTGGGTGACGAGGGGGTGAGGGTTGGAAAGATTGTAGTTGGACGACAGAGGTCCAAGGATCGTAGTTGACAACATGATGGTGGTCGGAGATCTTAGTTGGGTGATGGTGGTCCAAGAACCATAGTCCGATGAAGGAAGTTAATAGGATCATGTTGGGCGGAGGTTCTCAGAAGAACTGTTGTCAATATGTGATAGTGGTCAGAAGGATCATAGTTAGCGATGGTGGTATGAGGGTTGTAGTTAGATACAATGATGGTGAGGGTTTGTGATAGTGGTTCTCGGGCGGAGCTCAGAGACTCTTCAAGCTTCAAAGCTCTTTTGAATCTCTAGCCCCATGTCCAAGCCTCCCAGTCCCAATGATCCCCTTCATACAAGGAGATGAGGTTTATTTATAAATTTTTGAGAGTGACTTGTGTAGAAATGTAGAAAAGAAGAACATAGACAAGAAAGGAATTCTTGCCAGAGAACAGAGATAAAGAATGTAAAAGTAATCTTATTTAATGAATAGTAAAACTCAGATACAAACGCCTATTAATAGGCAAGATAACAGCTACTAACAAAAGCTAACAAATAGAATGCTGACAGCTGTACAAATACAGTCGGCTCAAAGAAATATATACAGCTTATTCTAATACGCCCCCGAAAATTGATGGGTCTTGACAGACCGTCAATTTGGTTCTGAGTTGATGAAACCGCGGTGTTGATAGAGATTTGGTAAGTATGTCCGCAGTTTGATCGAGGGTGCTTATCGGATGTAGCCTGATATTGTTTTGCTGAATTTGATCTCTTAGAATTTTTTGATCAATTTCTATATGCTTTGTACGAGAGTGGAATATAGGATTATTGGCGAGTGCTATCGCCGACATGTTGTCGCAGTATAGGTCCGTCGGGTAGTTTTGAGAGATCCCGAAATCATTAAGCAATCTTCGCAGCCATATGATATCCACCGTCAAAGCCGCGAGCGCCCTATATTCTGACTCTGTGGAAGATCGAGATATCGTTCGTTGCTTTTTAACTGTCCAAGAGATTAATGTGTCGCCTAAGAAGGAACAATATCCTGATGTAGATCTTCGTGTTATTGGATCGCCGGCCCAATCCGCATCTGAAAAAGATTTTAAATTCAAGTTAGTTTTGGTAATAGGTAACCCGAAATTTAACGTACCTTTGATGTATTGAAGAAGTCGTTTGAGCATGTAAATGTTGGAGGGTTGTGGATCATGCATGTGTTGCGATAGCATATTGACGCTGAATGCAATGTTCGGCCTTGTAAGCGTAAGGTACTGTAGCGAACCGGTGATACGACGATATAGAGCTGGATCGGCGAGAAATGGTTCGACGTTAAAAGTAGAGGGATTTTTTGTACATGAAGGATTGGCAAGCGGATTGCATCTGGTAAGATCAGCCAACGTGAGTATAGAGAAGGCATATTTAGATTGAGAAAGAAAATAAGCGTTACTCAGTTTCTGAATGTGAATTCCCAAAAATTTGGTTGCAAGCCCGAGATGCTTCATAGAAAATTCGTTGCTGAGTTTGTTGAGAATGCTTTGTATGATATCTTTGTTGCTTCCAGTGATGAGAATATCGTCTACGTATATGAGCAAAAAGATTTTGGCTGAATCTTGCTGATAGATCATTAGAGAAGGATCCGCCTGACTATGACAAAAACCAAGTGAGACAAGAAAAGATGTAAATGTGTTATACCATTGTCTTGGAGCATGTTTAAGGCCATAGATAGCCTTATGAAGGTGGCAGACATAATCCGGATGAAGAGTATCTTCGAAGCCCTTAGGTTGTGTCATTTAGACGATTTCTATTAAGGTTCCGTGCAAGAAGACATTTGCGACATCTAGTTGTTGTACTGGCCAATCATTATAAAGAGCAACGACTAAAAGAACACGAATCGTAGGAAGTTTAGCAACCGGGCTAAATGTTTCTGTATAGTCTATGCCGAATTCTTGATTGTTGCCTTGCGCAACTAATCTTGCCTTGTGTTTAGCCACGGATCCATCAGTATGGAGCTTGGTACGATACGTCCATCGTGATCCAAGAATGGAGGCGTCTTGCGGTGCTTTGACTAGTGTCCACGTGCCTTGCTTTTGAAGAGCAAGAAATTCGCTTGCCATGGCTTGGCGCCACTCAGGAGACTTGATGGCTTCTGTATAGGATGAGGGAGTAGAGGGAAGAGTGCTGGACGTGTGAGTGTGTATGAGATTCAGCCGCTGAGGAGCCTTAATGCTTCCAGTTTTGCTTCGGGTAACCATAGGATGAGTAGACAGAGGAGTAGTGTCAGGGATAAAAGCCGTCGTAAGAGAAGGAGAGGGAATATTTGATAATATGGTAGCTGGAGTAGTATTTTGAACGGGAACAGGAATAGAATTGTGAATATGAATAGAAGGAAGCATATGGTTGTATTTGGGTTTAGAGTTTGGATTGCTTTGAGAGCTTAGAGAAGCAGGAGTTAATAATGACGGACAAGGATTGATAGAAACAGAGGAAGAGCTAAGGGATTGTTTGGAGAAAGGAAACTCATTCTCATTAAAGATAACGTGTCGTGACATAGTAATTTTGTTAGTTGAGAGGTCAAGATACTTATATCCTTTGTAATAATCAGAGTAACCTAAGAAAACACAAGATTTTGATTTCAGTTGGAGTTTGTGATTAGAATGATTTTGAATGAGCGGAAAACACTCACAACCAAAAATTTTTAGATGACTGTAGTCGGGTTTGAGGTTGTGGAGGATTTCTATGGGTGCCCGATTCTTGATAGACAAAGAAGGTAATATGTTAATTAAATAAACAGACGTGATCACAGCATCGGGCCAGTAGTTATAAGGAACAGAGGCCGTAAGAAGAAGAGTCCGGGTAGTTTCAATTATGTGACGGTGTTTACGCTCTGCCAAGCCGTTCTGTTCAGGGGTATACGGGCAGGATAATTGATGAACGATACCATTGGTACGGAGGTAGTTGGTGAAAGTGTTGTTAACAAATTCAGAGCCTCCGTCCGTCCTCAGTATTTTAATATTATGATTTGTGTGTTTTTCAATGTAAGTTTTAAAATTAACAAAAGTATTGAAAACATCGGATTTGTATTGTAAAGGAAAGATCCAGGTATACCGAGAGAAGTCGTCGACGAATATCACATAGAATCTGTATCCTTGAGACGAAGGAACGGGTGCGGGACCCCAGACGTCTGCGTGTATCATGGCGAGAGGCATGGTTTGAAGATGTTGAGAGAGTTCAAACGGTTGTTTGTGGCATTTAGCAGCATTACAAAAAGAACATTGCAAAAAAATTTTGTTTATTGCTAATTGCGGATTACATTTAGAAATGAAATCTAAAACACGAGTATGAGGGTGGCCAAGCCTATGATGCTAGTAATTCAGATTATTGGTAGCCGCTGAAAGAGCATGTTGAGGGCCGGGAGTAGAGGATGCAGGAAGCGAGTAGAGACCTCCTTCACAGGGTCCTTGAAGAATAACTTTGTGACTCTTCAAATCCTTAAGTGTGAAACCAGAAGGATCAAAGATGATAGAAATATTGTTATCTTTTGTTAGCTCAGAAATAGAAAGCAAATTAAATTTAAGAGAAGAGAATGAAAAATCTTGGTAAGAAGTAGCTTACGAGTTGGGGTCGGAAGAATACCGGCCCCAGAATTGGCTATGTTTACTGCACTTCCGTCACTAATGGTAATGTTTTCTTGGCCTTGATATGGTTGCGAGATAGCAAGATTATCAAGAGAGTTTGTTAAGTGCGACGAGGCGCCCGAGTCCAAGTACCAGCTAGTAGGAGCAGCCTCTGAGTTTGCGATAAGTGCAGTATTACCTGTTCTTGAAGAAGGAACATACTGAGTGTTAAGTCTATGCCAGCAAGATTGAGCAGTGTGCCCTTTCTTGTAGCATATTTGACACACCAGAGATGCCTTGGAAGAAGTTCTTGGTGGATTTGCCGGAGTGGAGGGAGGTCGACCTCGGGAATGCTTATCACGTCCTCGATTAGTAAACAATGCCGTCGTCGGATCAGGCACAAGAAGAGCTCTAGCTGCATCGGAAGGTAGATTTATCTCCTCACTTAAGAGAAGGGGATACATCTGATCAAGACTCAACGGAGTTTGCATAGTGCGGATCGCAGTTTTGAACGACTGGTAAGACTGCGGAAGACCGTTGAGAATATGGTGGATGCGTCTTCGGCATCTACAGAAGCGCCCGCTGCAGCTATTTGATCGACTATAATTTTGACTTCAGAGAGATATTGTGTCATGGATTGGTTCTTGAGAGAAACTTGATGCAGAGCATTTCGGAGTTGGATGATTTTGAACCGATTGGTTGCCTGGAAACGATTTTCCAAGGCAGACCACAACTCAGCGGTGGAGTCTAATGATATAACGTAAGGTAAAACTGCAGATGAGATAGTGGAGCAGATGGACACCGATAGATTCTGATCGTGAAGAAGCCATTGGGTGTGAAGGGGATTGATGGATTTCGTGCCATCACTGTTCGTCAAAAACTGAGGAGGAGACGAAAAATCAGGATCCAAGAAATGCAAGAAGCCATTGGCACGAAGAATTTTCTGGATCTGGGATTTCCAGATCGCATAGTTTTCAGGTTGGAGCGGGGTAGTGACGAAATTGCGAACATTGGAGACGACGAATTTCAGAGTGGTGGAGATTTGAGTTTCGTCGGAATGCGGAGGAGCGGAATGATCTGCCGTCTGAGAAGAAGAGGAGGCCATGAGTTCAGGATCGAAAATCCTTTCCTGATACCATTTAGAAATGTAGAAAAGAAGAACAGAGACAAGAAATGAATTCTTGCCAGAGAACAGAGATAAAGAACGTAAAAGTAATCTTATTCAATGAATAGTAAAACTCAGATACAGACGCCTATTAATAGGCAAGATAACAGCTACTAACAAAAGCTAACAAATAGAATGCTGACAGCTGTACAAATACAGTCGGCTCAAAGAAATATATACAGCTTATTCTAATAACTTGCTCCTCAAATATGGAGAAGATCCATGACAAATTCGGAGTGCTCCATCAAACAAACCATATTGATTCCCTTACTAATGGAGCATTTTTCAAAGCATTTAAGTGTTTTAATGAAGACATAATTAAACAATGTTGGGCTCATTGGATTCACTTCGTTGAGTTGCTCGATTAGACTATAAACATGTCATATTTAGATATCATTTGATCATCCAATTAATATTATGAAGCTTTCACGTATGTATCGAGTCATTGCTTTGGCTCATTTGGGCTTAAATTGGATCGATTTCGGTGTTGCTAGGTTTGTCTCATTTAAACGTACAATTTGACTATAAGTTCATTGATTAAATCGTAATTCAAATAGTCCCTAATTTTATTTTGAAAATTTCTATTTGAGATATGTCTCAAAATTTGTGGTTGATGCACTATTTTTTTATTATATATCAATTTCCCTATATGCATACAAATCAAAATCTTCATCATATCATATCAGCTCCCACAAACTTTAAATAACAAATCATTTACTACCCCCTCACTTTTTTTTGAGTATGTAATGTTCCGATGTTGGACTCGAATGGGATCGTTGTCCATTATTTATTATTATTTTGCTAATATTAAATTCCTAAATATAAATTTAATGTGCGTAATTTAATTGTAAAATATGTAAAATAGCTTTTAAACATGATTAACAACTATTTAGCTATAGATCACCATAGCCTAGGGGTACAACTGAGTCAAGCCGACTCGTGAGTTGGCTCGTGTTCGACTCCGTAACAGGCTCGATGAATCGAGCTTGAACACGATTTCGAGCTCAACAGCTTATTGATCTTGAGCACAAAAAACCCTCCATTCGACTAGCGAGCTCGCCGAGTAGCTCGTGGAATGCATTGCCGGCGGGAGAATGAAATCGCGGGCTTAGCCGGGCGCTAACAACTGACACAGGAAAATAAAATTGCCACTGTCAACGACAACGTGGACGCTGGTGACAATGCAAACAAACCTTGACAATGGACATTGGAAAATGAAATCACATACTATGACAAAGACTCGTACGCTAACGACAAGGCATATGAGCTGCTCTAATTGCTGCTTGATGGGCAGCTCGACCAGCTAGTTTTCCCCTGTCGAGTCAAGGTCGACTCAAGTTCAACCTTGAACTCGGTATTTGCCAATCGAGCTTGAGCTCTATATTTGATAGTCGAGCTCTCAAACTAACTCTTCAATTTTGCACCCCTACCATAGGGCAAATTATTGCGTCAGGTGACCGAACGCAGAGATGCGTTCGGTCTCTCTCTGTCTACAGTAACCTGCGCTTTATTGCTACAGTAAAGCGCAGATTACTGTAGACAGAGAAAGACCGAACGCATCTCTGTGTCAGGTGTCCTGATGCAATAATTTACCCTACCATAGCCCCTTCTTCTTGAATAAAACGGCGTGCTCGACCGAGGTAAATCCCCAAACCGGCTCGGCATCCTGCGAGCAGCATAAATATGCTTCTGCTCCTTAAGAGCGGCGGAGTTTTAAAAGTAATCTCGAACTGGGATGAAGCCATATAGGGTTTCGCCAAGATGGTATCTTTTTTCCCACTCTTTCTTCCGAGGTCACAGGAGTCGGTCTTACCATCTTCGCGTTGACAATTTAGCCAGGAAACTCCATTCGGCTCGGTCCTCCGTTAGCGGCGGAGGAAATGGAAACGGCGAAGGTCACTTCCTCTGACGTATTACATGATTTTTTTTATGTTTGATACCCTGAAATTATCCTCTTCTCTTTTCACGTTCTTTATTCGGCATTCTTTTTCTGCTTAGGATCTTAGAGGTCGAAAGTTTTTTGACTTAGGGTGTAAGGTGGATTACTTGAATTTGGGATTAGGGCGTGGTTCTGGTATTTGTTTAGTCGGAAATGCCTGCTGGTTCTTTTCACAGGGGACGAATCATTGTATCAGGTTACGCTGTTAGTGCTCGTAATAAGCCATTGCATTGCCATTATATTGGGCGGCCTGGGATGATGATTTCTGTTGTGTGTGCAGGGAGCTTTTTCCTGGTACCTGGTGCTACGGTAGCAACTCTTCTTATGCTTGGTTTTCTTCATGCTCGCCGCCTCTATGAAGACAAGAAGGCATGCTAAGTTTAATATCATGATATTGAACTATTTTATGTTTCATTAGTTCTCCTAGCCTATGAAGATTCTCTTGAAGAAATTGATTTGTTATCATAATGAAAAAGGTGAAAAAGATGATGCTTGTATCAATTTTGATTTTTAGTGAAATGATTCATGGCACATGGGTGCAATCATCAATAGAAAAATGAATAAGAGTTCTTGTGTCACTCATTGAAAAATTGACACGTTTGTATTTTTTTGGTCCTCAAACATCACAATGAAATTAATTGAATAATGAGAGAAACATAATTTTGAGAACAATAAAGGCTAGGTGGTCAAGACATATGTGTTAAAGTTATTTTTTTTATTGGGTGGTTGAGTAGTTGTTTGCTCCACGAGCAACACTCTTCTAGTCCTACTCTACCAAGTCTTCTGATAGGAAACACTTGTAGATCTCAAGTATTTTCTATCAATCTTCGGAAAATAGCGTGAATTATCCACAAAAATCCACACAAAACCCGAAAAACAGTAGATAAATTGTATTATTTTATGAAATGGAAATGGAAAATACTAAGGTACAATTGAATCTCTATTCGAGAGGAGGATCTATCTCTCCCAAATCTCTAGAAGCAGCTAGAGCCCAAAAGAAAACCTAAATCTAAGAGATCTCAAATTTAAGCCAAATTCAAGATGCCCTAACCCTAGGAAAGCCAACTATTTAATGCATACAATCCAAAAGGAAATATCTAAACAACACCTACATTCAAATTTCCCTCCTAATTCCCTAAAAAAAACCTTCCAATATTGCTCCCTTGGACCTCGCGACATCTATGGCTTGTACAGGAGGTAGAATCTCCGCCTTTGTTTCGTCCCTAAGCCGGTCACGCATGGACCGGTTGGACTGGTCTAACATCTTCCGCCTGCAATTTGATCATCCATTTACCTATGGGGTCTCTCCCTCAACAATCCTCATTCAGACTCCTTTGATGCTGACAAAGGAAAACAAAGGAAAAGTGTTGTGAAGAAAAAGTTGACGATTGAAGAAAATGGATAGGATAACCCAACTTGATAGATATTGATGGGTGAAGCAAACGATATACATTAAGAGCATCCATCTACACTTTAGTTACTAATCTTCATTGTATTCACATATAGTGGAAAGAAGTTCCCATGGAAGATGGACTCGACTAATGCGGTTTTGAAGCTCATTTTTTCATTTCATTAGTTTCATTGAAGAAACCCTAGCTCATTCCACATTTAAAAAAAAGGGATACAATTGAATAATATGACTTACATCATTTCTATTAAAAAGTAATAGAAAATATATAGAGTAATTGAACCACAGTGATTAATAAAAAAAAACATAAAATATGGCATGAAATGAATTTGTACTTAGCTTAAGTAGCAGAATATGATAATATCATGATATTTGAACTATTTTATGTTTCATTAGTTCTCCTAGCTTAGGAACAACCTTTTTCTCGAAGAAATTGGGGGTCTTTTTGGTGGATGAGGTGGCTTTGTGATGTAAACCTCCTTGGGTCTTTTTTGTTTGGGGATTCTTTTGAATCATCATTTTCTCTCTCATGAAATTTTGGTGCTCCTTGCGATCTATTAATGATCATATTTGCTCTTTTTTGTTGTGAACTACAATTGTTATGTGATTCATTATGACCTTTTAAATGGAATAAGCCACATCATTTTGCTATTGCTATGTGATTTCTTTCGGCAATTGGTTTTCTTTTGGCAATTGGTTTCCTTTTGGCAATTGGTTTGGGATAAGGTAACCTACTCTTTTTTTTGTTTTTAATATTTTAAATTCTAGGAGGTTTTTTATTATATGTATTTTAGTTTGATGCTTATTAAAGATATTTTATTTCTGTTTTCATAAATTTATAGTTGAATTTATTTATCTCCAACTTTCTTCTAATGCAATTAAGGATTGATAATTCTCGAGGGAACTTATCTACTTGTAGATGTGTGAGGTTTGAATTTTACTATTTTTGATCTCTTACCTTATTTTTTTTGGGATTTCAATGTCTACTTATTGGGTTGCTCTTATAAGTTAGTTTTAATTGTTTTAAACTATTAAATTATTATTTTGTTACATATTCCTTCGTATTTTCAATTTTCATTTTAAGGAACAAATATTTGTCTTAGTTGAAAGTTTTTGAATTGTAAAGTTTATGTGTTTGTTTGATTCTGTGCATTTTGTTGTACATTGGCATTATGAAATCATAGGACTTAAGATTTGTTGCATCATATATAGCATTAGAACTTGATGTTTCATTTTAATGTTTATTAGTAAAAAATAATAATTGTCCAATTCACAAACTACCAAAATGGCACAACTTGAATAAAATTGGTTGCATTTTGATTCTAGTCAAATTCATAGATGAAATTTAGAACTATATGCTTATATTTTATATAAGGTATAATTGAAGAGAATTTTCCCTTATGGTAGGAAGTAGGTCGTTCTTTCGTTCAACTAATACTTAATGTTGGGGTGTATACATATAAGATAACACATATATTATTCTTTTTTTAGAAGTATGGGGAGAGAGAATGATTGAAGTAGTTATTGGCATTATTAGTTTTGACTCTTAATTTCAACAACAGATTGATTTTTTATTATATTGAAAAGGTGAAAAAGAGGATGCTTGTATCGATTTTGATTTTTAGTGAAAAGATTCATGACACATGAGTGCAATCAGCAATAGAAAAATGAATAAGAGTTATTGTGTCACTCATTGAAAAATTGAAATGTTTGTATTTTTCTGGTTCTCAATCATTACAATGAAATTCTTTGAATAATGAGAGAAACATAATTTTTAGAACAATAAAGGCTGAGTGATCAAGACGAATATGTTGAAGTTAATTTTGTTTATTGTATTTAATGGCTTTTGAGAGAAGAGATAATGCTGACGGTTGTATGTAGTTGTTTTTTTTTACCATTCTTATCTTTAGCAAGCCTAATCATCATGCTCATACCTGCAATTGATGAAAGATGTAATATGAAGGATAAATGCCGTTGGATTTGGATTGTTTAGTTAGCTTATGAGTGGATAATATGTTAGTAAATAATTTAGGTACACGGTTAGAGCATGAGAAATTTGTTTATAAGAATATTTCATTTATTGCCCATGATGTTCAAGGATCCATCATCTATGATTATTTTCTTATTGCTAGGACAAGGGTAATATGAAATAAGTTTGAAAGACCAATTGATCATATGATTGTAGGTTATGAATAAATAGTCCAATAATTGGAAATGGGCATCTCTAAGACTTTAAAGACATTAAAAGAGGAGGTAATATGTGATAATAATGGAGGACAATTGATGGGGAAGGTTTATCAGAGACGTTGTTGCAGGACATATATGAAAATTTGATTTTGATAAGAATTTTACACGCTTATTGAGTAAGAGCTAATTAATCAAAGCTTTATGATGATTCAAACAATGAAATATAACCAAAGAGTGGTAAACACAAACTTAGACCAAGTTACTCGCGAAAAGTAAAAACCCCATAATAATGAATTACTCTTGATGTTGCACACGAGATGGGTTTCAACAAGAAATCCCTGATCTAACAATAAGAGTGGTGCTATGAAAGATCTCTCAAACAATTCCTACTAAATACTAAGCTTTTAGCGGAGCTTGACAAGATTTTGCATGAATCAAATAAAACCACAATCGAGGATCAACGAAGGAGGTAAGAGAGAAGGAAAGAGTTCACCCTTTGCTAAGATTCAACCTTCTCGCAAACTTGGACAGCAGTTGGTGGCGTTTTGACGGCTCAGACAGTAACAAATCCACGCTCGAACCTTTGGACAGCAAATAGCCAACCTGGGCCTGCGATTTCGGACAGTTCCGGGCAGCAACGGTCGCTCCCAGAGGGGTTGGACAGCAGTGAACTGCTGCGGGAATCTCTGGACAGTAGATGGGTGGTCTTGAGAAGATCCTGGACAGCAGTTTGGCACTTGGAAAAAGCTGGGAAGCAACTGGGAACTTGTAGACAGCAGCACGTAATGGTGGGAATCCTGTTTTTGCACTCAAAGACTTTCAACAGCCATCCAAACAGCAATCTGGGCGGCGGGATAGTAGTCTGCTGAGTAGGAGGGGTCTTGGACATCCACCAGGAATCTCCCAAAGAGAAGGGATGCGGAGGAAGAGGCTTGGGAAAGGAACGGCTAAGGCTGCAGGAAAGCTATGTAATTCTTTTCCACAACTCTCAATAAGGAATGACTATGCTAAATCCAAATCCAATAAGAATTTAATTGGATTCAAATTAAGGAGTTGATTGGGGATCACTAATGGGAAGAATTAAAGAGGAAGGAGGAGGGGGAAGGGAACGGGCCAACCAAGGGAAAAGGAAAGGGGGATTGGCTTGAATAAATAGTGGGTCCCAATGTATTAATTAATGCCTCTAATCAAATCTGAATTTTAATTCAGATTTAATTGAAATTGGAAAACTTTCATAATAGGATTTGAATAATAGGAAAGTATTTGAATTTCAAAGTTAATTGAATCCAAATAAAGGTTCTTTCCTAAATGTCATTGAGTTATTTTAGGAAGGCTATTAATTAGACAATTTGAATTTCAAATTTGAAATTCAAATTGAAGATCACGGTGGCCGGTGGCTAGGGTAGGTTTATGAGGGTGATGATGGGTGGTTGGGAGCCGGAGGGTGGGGCGGTGGTTGGAGGATTTCGACGGCTGTGGGAGAGGGAAAAGGTCGGCGGGTGGTGGGAAAGTGAAAAAAATTTATGGCTAGGGTGAGGGTGGCCGGCGTTAGAGAAGTAGAGAGGGGCGGACGGGTATGGAGAGGAGGAAGAAGAGATTGATCGAAAAGAACGATAAAACAAACCACGAACCTGGCCATCTCCAAGGTTGGTGGGTGATCTGTTTTCCCTCCCCTAGGGAATTCTCTCCAAAGCTCTCAAGCTCTCACACAAACTCATGATTGCATGAATTTTCATTAGCATTCATTCATTACCCTCTAAGGAGAAGAGGGAGGCTTTAAATAGCCAAATACATGAAGGGAAATAACAAAGACACTATTGCTCATAGGGCATACATAAGACAAAACCTTCAGGTGAGGGTAGAAATGGAAAAATAACAATAACAAATCAAATACATAAAATAGATTAAAATAAGTAGGCACGATCGTAGCTGTAGATCTCTGATGTCCTCATCAGACGTGGCCGCCGATCTGCGGCCACGATCGAGTCATTTTATTTTTGATTTGTTTCATGTATTTTTTTAATTATGTTGTTGTATTATATTTGCTTTATTTAGTTCCCGTTGTACCCTTTTATTAAGGGATGTCGTATGTAAGCCCTAGGGGCATCGTCGTCCTTTATGTTTGAGTCATTGTAAGAGGCTATTTATAGCCCCATTATTCTTCTTTGCAAGTTAATGAATGAATGAATGAATGATTGATTAAAAATATTTCTTCCACTTGCATGAGTTCTTGTGAGAGCTTGAGAATTCTGAGAGAGATCCCTAGGAGAGGGAGAATTGTGCATCACCCACCAACCTAAACGAGTCGGGTTCGTGGTTCTATTTTCGTATCTCTTCTTTTCTCCTTCGACCACCGCCGCCACATCCTACCCACGGTTTCTCCCATCCCAAGCCTTTTCCCTTCTCTCCACTACCACCACATAAGTTCTTCTACATTGGTTAAACACAACCCTCTCCACTCCTTGCTCACCTGACCCCTTCCCCCACACCCCCACCCACAGTTTCCACCCAAACCGCCAGCCCTAGCCCCATAGCCGCCGGCCCCATGACTTCTCACCTCATCCTTGGGTTTCCTAATTTGGTTGGATTTAATTTGGGATCAATTTGAAATTCAAATCAACTAAATTTGAATTTCAAAATTTTTTCCTAATTTATCACATCCATTTTAGGAAAGTTCTTAATTTAAATTTATTTGAAATTCAAATTCAAATTGGATTTGATTAATCCCTTTCCTAATTCATAAACTCAAATTAAGAAGCCTCAATCTCTCCCATTAATTGCTCCCCTTAGCCCTTAATGCCGCCGGCCCCTATAGGGGAGATTTAGGATTTATTTCCTAAAACCCCTCTAGCCCCTCTTGGAAACAATTCTAAATCTCATCCCCACCTCCTTAGCCGAAATCCCCTAAGCCCCCCTATTTAATTTATTTCCAAAAGGGAATCTCCCCTTTTTGGAATTAAATTAAATCCCTCCTCACCCTTGCCGCCGCCCCTCCCCTCTCTCATCCTCTTTTGGAATTGTTTCAAATTTCAAATCCCTTCCTAGCCAAAATCTGAAATTAATTTCAGATTTTTAAGCTCTTCCCTCTCTCAAGTCTAAAACAAACTCCCTATTCTCCCTCCTCCCTTGGTCGACCACTTTCCATCATCTCCACTTCAAGAGAAACTTCTTTCTCTTCAACGAAGTTCATGATTACTAGCAACCTTGGAAGAAATCATCATCTAGCATTCATGAATAGCCGATCCCGATACTGACTACGGACTTGCTTACGACGAACAAGGCTTCGTGCACATTCTCCATTCAACCTTCTTTGACGTCAACCTGAGGATCGACCATACGGTTGAGGACTACATAGAACGCATCTTGGACACCTTGGTTGAAGCTATTGAAGAGCAACTAGAGATCGTCGAGTGGAGGATTGCAACCAATCCGTGACAAAAGGTTTTCTAATTTTCCTTTTCCTGTACTTCTTAAGTCTAATCCATTCATGTGATTTGATTGTAGTCATGAAGGTTGCGTTTTCCCGATTCTGCTAAGCTTAGTAGATGTAGGGTTTGAGTGCATTCACTTGCTTCTAATCTGATTGTTAGACTAGGGATTTTCATTGAAATCTACTACTTTGCATGGTACTGTTTTTCCTATGATATTTTGTTGATTCAAATCTCTTTACATGCAACTTAGCCTAAACGAAAGTGACTGCTCTTATGTTTTGATTCATCGTTTTATTTGCTAATAGTTCTGATTGTTATCTCTCTGTTCAATAAGTTGTGCAAACTCTTAATAAAACCATTGCAAGCATTGTAGTCCTACATCAACAAGCATCTGTCGTAGATATTTTTTAGGTGCTCATTATAAATTTTTTGTATTTCTGTGTTAGGTAAATGTCATAATTTTCTTGTTTCCTTTTAGAACTTGCTAACAAATCGTGGCCATTTCTAGGTAATTATATTCATTAATCCAATATGTTGAATGTATGTTTTGCTGCTCTCCTATTGAATTTAAATTGCATTCCATAACCCCAAGAGAACCCGAGACCAAGTGAATCTTTTTATTTTTTGTTGTTCATGGAGAGGGAAACTATGGTTCTATTCAAAAGAAAAAAACAAAGAAAAGGAAAAAAAAAATGCAACAATGCAGTGATGATGCAACAATGTGAATAGTTTGTAGCAATTTAGCCATGAGTATTGCTGCAATGGGAAATGTTTGTTGTAATGTAGTGATGAAGGTTGTAGTTATAGAAAAATCATAAAAAGGAAGGGAGTTCAACAAGGAACCCCAATATTGTGGTAATGTAATAGTGAATGCTACAATCATGGAAATACTTGGAAGAGTAAAAGCTTAGGGCTCTCATGCAGTCATACTATGACAAGAATTGTTGAGATTTAGTTGGGTGTATTTCATTTCAATTTTTCATATTTTACAAATCTTACGAAAGCATTTAATGAGAAAAAAAAAGAAATAAGGGAATAGAATTAATTATAAAATAATTGTAATTGTCTATGGATTTATGGGCCAATATTAAGGATCCCACAGATCAATGAGGTGGCAATGGAATAGAAAGAGAAGATTATGGAAGTCTTGGTGAATGTGGGTCCCATCTTGTAGAAATTATGTTGGTTTTTTCATAGTCTAATAATTAATTGATCTTGTTTGACTTTTATTATGAATCAATGCATTGGATTTTTCTCTCTTCAACCTCCATGTTCAAAATTCATATTCAACCCTTTTATAGACAATCACATAAATTTTATGCATAAGTGATATTAAGTGATAAAATCATGTTCATGACATCAATTGGCTTCGAGCTGATCTTGAACTAAGGCCTCAGGATCATATGACTAACAATGCTATCTATCCCTCCCTTCTTACAAACCAACTTTGACCAACAATGTTCCTTGTATGTTGTTTTTCTGCTCCCCACTCCTCACTCCCCTCTCCCCTCTCCCCTCTCCCTTCTCCCCACTCAAAACAAGAAGGGTAAGAATCCGCTTTATCTTCTTTCTCTCTCTTACATTGTGGTGGAGTAGCATGATTTTTCTTTTCTCCCGTTGATAGCAAATTCTAGAACCCATTTGGTTGGACTAGTAGTTTGGATTAATGAACAAGTTGTGGGAACTCCAGATCCTCAGGTTGATTTAGTGTGCCAATATTATTATTGTCTTTTTTTTTAAAAAAAACTTTATCTTATAATTGGTATTTAAGTTCATATACGATTGAATCTCTTCTATATTTTCTTATGTTATGTTTTCTTGTATGTTCACTTTAAGTGCATCTTAGGTTGATGATGTGAAGGAGAAAGGGATTGAACTTGAGTTTTCACCTGATGTAAAGGTATTGGTAGCTAGGATTTCTATATTCATATAATATTCGAGCTTTTTTTTATTGGTGTACGTTTAACACAAATTTTCTTTTCTTTTCAAACATTTTTGCTAACATCTCATAACAGGCTGCTTTTTTGAGGTTGTTGCCATTGCGTTCTATCTCACGCTTTTGGGGTTATCTCACAAGTTTGGTATGTGTTTTTCCCTTATTTGTTATAAAATGTACTGTATAGACTACACTTTCTACATATGTATTATTCATATGCTAGTTGATTAGTAATTTAATCATCTTATTTGTAACTACATCCCCTTTGTAGGCTTTCATAGAGTTCCCAAGGTAAATTTTACTTGATTACTATGCATGCTATGTTTTAGTCTATCATATGTTATATTGATGCAGTGCATAATCAAATTTCAAGCAACAACAAGCAATTGAGACAATGAAGGGTTGAGCTTTCATCCCTTAGTTGCATGATTGGCTTCCTTCATCACAAGACAAGTATTGATTGTCAAGATTAATTAAAGCAAGATTAAATCAAGTTTCATTAATGCATGGCCAATTATGTATCATGAGAGTTCAACATGATCTCAAATTTTGGCATCACTCACTTTTCTTAAAACTATTACCGAACCCTCTCTTATGAAATTTCATCATATGCTTATTTTTTATAGCCTCTCCTTTCTATCCTATAATGGCTAGGCCTACTTTGTAATTATGTTAAATATTGTAATCAAGGAATGGCTTATGACCTTCCTTTAATGCATAGGCTAACCACTCTTGGATTAGTTTAGTTTGTTTTCATGTTATTCTCTATATAACCAAGTGCTTTGTAATTTTAAAATAAATCATTACAGATAAATAAAATTGTTGCTCGACTTCAAGTAATTTGAATTTGTATTTGTGGCGTTATATTGTCTCTTGAATTTCTTATGTGAGAGCTTCAAAATTAATTATGATTCCTTGAAGTTTCTTTGGTGAGGACTTAAAGTTATTATTGTTCCTGGCTAGTCCTAGATCTCTTTCTATGGCCAACTTCATCATCCTTTAATGCCAAACCATCATTATCCATATAACTCCATAAATTTTCCCTCCACTATTCTCCAATTATTATAGGAAAATTATTAGATTGACAAGTGTTATAACTGGAAAGAAGATAGGTTTTTTATTACATTTTTATTTTCTCTTAATGGAGGATATTCCCACTTTATATTCTTCTTTTTGTATTCATAGTGTATGCCTATTTTTAGGAACTTGATCTCGATCATTAAAAATCAAAGAGTTTCTCTTTCAACATGATCTCAAATTTAGGTATCCTCATTGTCTTTCCTTCTCTCTCTTTAATATCCCCTAGATCCCTCATGTATCCCATGCACCTGACATGCTTGCTTATGAACTGCTCTGCTTATCCACTCCCATAGTCAACAACCCACTCGTGTGTTGCCTACTTATACTTTGGAAACGCTCTCCCACATAGTGCTCACTAACTTGCGACACATACTCGCTTGATACTTGCGGCAATCAAATACTCATCTTGGACTCATTGTACTCATTTGTGCTAGACCAAGTGCTACTTTTGTAAGCTTTACCCCGTGATGCTCTCACTTGCATGCTTGCAGTGTTAATTTCAAGCACTCACCATTGTTAGATTAAACTATAATGGCGTAAAACCTCACGCTCTTGCAACTCTAAGATTCTAGTTACCTCTAGGATTCTCTCTTTTCAACTATTGTCATATCTTCTCTTTTATCTTAATGAGTCAAAACTCTCTACAATTGATCCCAATATCAATAAAGTGATATACAATTCTAAGAATACTATAACACCCTGATTAAAAGAATGGAATGATTTACTTCAACACCATCTCTTCACTATTGATCCAATTATCTAACTGTAATAGTATGAAGAATTTCTAAAATGACGATTGCTCACTCCGGGTTCTTTCCATTACAAAATGCTCTTACGTTCGCCTCCCATTTTTAACAAATTAGTCTTAGTCGCTAGTTCTTGGGATAGTTTCGGAGTTGTGGATGTAATTGTCTTGCTGTTTGTGGCTGGGGTTGTGGCTCTCTCACTTATTTGGCCTGCTCTTATTCTAATTGTACCAATCATCCTCTTAAATGCGTATGAGGACTAAAATCAACTTTAGTTGAGCTGAGCACACGATGGATTGGATTTGGCTTGGTCATACTTAAAGTTCAGTTTTGGATGGAGCTTAAACCAAGCCTTCACATATATGTTTGAACTTCTCTTGTTTAGATTTTGCAATGATGAACCTTGGCTTGTTCCTTGTCTAAATTAATTGAATGACTACTTAAACTAGCTAATAAAAAAGCTAAAATAATGTTTGAGTTTTTGGCTTATTATATTAACAAATAATACAAGTTCAAAAAACAAGCAATTCAATAAATTTGAAATTGTATCCTATAATTTGACACCAATTAAACTAGCATAAATTAAACAAGATATTTGATAAGTCACAAACAAACACCTTTCAATCATACAATATTATAAATAAATACCAACAAACTTGTTAATTGAAATAGAGAAATAAGAACTGATTGTATCGCAAATCAATATGCAGATTTACTAGTAATATATTAATTATTTTAAAAACTTTAGGATATTTAAAAGTATTTAGTATAGACATAATATTTACATATATAAGAAATAATTATGGGAACAGGTTTACATCCCTTCAATTATTGGATTCAAAGCTCATACTGGCCTCAACCTTCTTCATGCCTCTTATCCTTTGAGGCTAAAATGGTGTGCTCATAAACTACTTGTCGATATGTCAATTGCAGGAGAGCTAAAAAGGGGAAGAATAAAAGATGGGTTTGTATGTTGCAGGCATATATTCACTTGAGTTGCGATCTTGGTGTACCCTACCTTATTCAAGCAACCTCGTCCTATTAGGAAGACTTGAAATGGTGGAACTTGCCAGTGTTGAATGAGGTGAATTGATGACATAAAAATGAAAATTTGGAAGTATCCTAGACTAATAAATAAATTTGTAGTATATTATTTATAAATAAGTAATTAAATAAATTTTATTTGACCAAAATTTAAATAAATAATATACGAGTCATTATCAATTTTAATGTTAAGCTTTTAATATTGAACATTATTAAATAGGCTTGTTCGTAGACATGCATAAACAAGTTGAACTATATTTAAGCTTGGTTCCTTTAGCATTCCAGTTTTTAAAAAGATTTAAAATTTATTAAGTATTTAATTTCAGCGAACTTAAATAAACTAGTTGGACTATGCTCAAGCATTGTTTATTTAGACTTCATGCTTTTAAAAAGAATTAATACTTGTTTGCTCATTGATTTAAATGACTTTGATCTAGTATGAATTGAGTTGAGTACAAGCTTATCATCTAATGCATGTTCACTTCCCTTCATAGTTTATTATACATCTACATCCAACCCCATTTTGCCTACTTTTTGGGCCATATCTTATGGATCTGTTACACTCTTTTAAGAAGATATGACCGACTGCTTCAATAAATGCAATCATCTGACTTAGTCTTTCATATGTTCTCTTCCTTGGGTCTTATATTTCAATGCTTCCTCACATATGGTAGGTAATTGACAATTATTTGCATCAATTATAATCAATCCTCTTAAAATTGCTATTGATGTTAATGGTTCTTCTTCTCCGATCTTTGGCGAATGACTCAATCCAGCGTGCATTTTCCTTTACCATTTATCTTGCAATTCCTCCCAAGTGCCAACCTTTTATCTTTACATTGTCTCACTAAGACACACAATTGCTCAATGACATTTTCTTTAACTTACTATATTTTTTAAAATCTTAACTCAAATAAGAGGATTTGTGAAGCTATTGAAGTTGAGGGTATATTTTATCTTTAAATTGCTGATTTAATGATGCAACCTTAGTTCTTAAACTAAGTGTGCAAATAAAACACTTCTTTTCAATAGCATATAAACAAACACCAAATGATGGAAAATTAGCATGAAACACAAGTGGGAAAATGATTAGTAAATTGTGAGAAAAAAAAAACTCATAAAATATACTACTTTCTGAACAACCACGAGTGGTTACCTCACATGCAAATCACAAAATAGGAAAAGATGCTCAAAGGAAAGGATTAACCAACGAACCACCATAGAAGTTATGATCCAACACAAGTCTATGCTTCTCCAACAAATACCAACAGAACATTGCACAACACACCTTACAACTTACAATATTTTAAAAAGAAATGTACATGTGGAAGGAAAACCGTGGAGAGAAGAAGTAGAAAGAAGATCAAGAGGAAGAATTGAGTTAGGGAGAAGACAGCTCGCTAGCTAAGAAGAAACCCTCAGGTTTATATTATTTTCACTCACCAATAATTGCTTTTAACTACATGTGGAAGAGAAACCGTGGAGAGAAGAAGTAGAAAGAAGACCAAGAGGAAGAATTGGGTTAGGGAGAAGGTAACTCGCTAGCTAGGAAGAAACCCTCAGGTTTATATTATTTTCACTCACAAAAAATTGCTTTTAACTACAAAAGAAAGATACAGGTAGAAGGGAAACTGTGGAGAGAAGTAGAAAGAAGACCGAGAGGAAGAAATAGGGGATAGGGGAAGACTAGCTCGCAAGCTAAAAAAATCCTTCAAGTTTATAAATTTTCTTTTCAAGAACTGCTTCACCACAATGAAATTCTGACACTATTTATAGGAGAAAGAGGGGGAAAGAGCATTTATTTGCTCACATAAATGTGCCTTCAAAAAATTGTTTAAAATTGCTTAATTAGGTATTGAGGCATTTTGAGGCATGAGCCTCAAAATAAAAAATTACGTTGAGTGCAAATAAATGTTAAAAGTAAATTTTTGTATAATACCCAAATAATATGTTAAAAAATGACATGTTATTTTTCTATTGAACTATGAAGTAAAACAATGATATATGAAATAAAAAATTGAACAAGACGTAAATTGGCTAGTGATAAATTGCATTAAATATAGTTGAAATACAAATATTTCATGAACAAAAAATTATTAAATATTGAAATTGCATAAAAGTATCATATAACATTAAGTTCAATTTCAAATTCTTTCTTTCTCAGTTCCCTATTCATCTACATTTAATTTCTTAAAATGGAAGAAAAGTTGACAAATGACAACAACTAGAAAATCATCTATATTGTCATCACTGAGGGGGTCTTTATTTGAGTCGT